TTTTATTTTATTTTTTATTTTATTTTTTTGGTATAAGAAAATGGAAAGCAAAGCTTAAGCTAATGCTCGATCATGACCCGACGTGAGTGTGCCACGCCAATAAAATCATATTGTAACTAAGAACCTGCTCCCACAGGGTTTTATTGTGAGATTTATCCTAAGTACATTACCATTAGGATTGAATTTGCAGAAATAATAAAAACTTGAGAAACACGTCAAACAACCATAACGACACTAGAAAAGACTTCAAAAACGCAGAGACGTAAAGCACGGGCTTTGAGGATCAATGGCGAAGAAGAAGGCGAAGGCACCGATAGATGAAAAAGCCGATAGACTGCAGCGGTTGAAGGAATCAAGACGAAAACTTGAGAACAGATTCTGCGTTCGAATTTCTAGCGCCGCTTTTGAATTCGCCGTTGATGGCCTCAAGACCTTCCACCCCCAACTCATCTCTGGTTACCCAGTTCTTTACTAATTTCTGATCTAATGTGCTAACTATGAATTTAGATTTTTGTTTTTTTCGGGGAATTTCTTGTTGTAATAAGCCAGTTATTGTGCCTTTTTCTATTTGTTCTCGGTTCTGATTTGAATCAAATTTAGTACTTTTACTTCACCGGAGAATAGAAATTGTCGCGTGATGATGACACTGACCACTGCTCAATTCACATGGCAACACTAATTTTGTTTTGTGATGACTGATGACAGATGAAGCCTCTCCTTGGAAGCCCATAGAAATTTTGGCCCGAGCATGTAAGCTGGTGGTCGAGAGATTCAAAAATTGTGCGTATGAGCGCGATTTCTATGAGAACGCATACCGATTGCGTTGGGCCCTTGTTGAAATAGTCGAAATGTGCGATAAAATCGATTGGTATTCCAAGTCATGGGTGGATCGTTTGAGGTGGGACCGTGATTCGGCCTCGATTTTCATGGGCGAGTTTTTAACTAGATGGGAGGTTGTTCTAAAGTCACCACCTAGAGGTTTTGGCGTCTTGTTCTCAGATTATGCCGAGACCATTAATATTTTAAGGACAATTGCTTATTCACTATGTTCCTGGACATGATTCAAGACGAACTGATTTATGCTTTCGAGCGTCACTTGACAGTCAGTCAAGTTGATGTTGCTCAGGTTAATATATCCCTATCTTACGCTCATCCTTACCAAACATTTACTTTGTCCTGATTCTATTATTTCTTTTTGCTAGGTGGTGAGCACCCTGACTGATGTCCCGCCTACTGTAATTTTGCCGTCTATTGACCACCACCAGAAGGCGATTTATATGACGTGTCGGGGTCTGTTGGAACAAAACAGCACGATTCATGAAATTTACGCAACATTGGTCTCCACAAGGCGAGGCAGTAATAACCTCCCGAGGGGTTCTTTTCTCTTACTGGGCCCCACGGGAGCTGGTAAGACCGATATTGCCAGGGCCGTTGCCGAGCATTGGTACTGTGATGCGAGCAGGCTTGTAGAGATTGACTTATCAGATTATGATGTAGAGGAAACAGCTGAATGGTATTTTGCTATATAAACTCTGAAAAAACTTCATTTATTTTGGGGGTCTCTATGCTATTGCTGACCACAGTTTTTCTTTTTCTGTCTGTTTAGTTCGACGGAGAAGCATGAGGACTTTTGGGGCCGCCTTACGGGAGTTGTGGCAAGACGTCCTTACTCGGTGATTGTTATAGACAAGATCGAGAAGGCCTCTCCTTCTGTTATGAGGGTTCTTCTCGAGCTTTTGCGTGGTGAAGCTCAGGCAAGTGGTGTTGTCGACTTCTCTAATTCGGTCATCTTCATGACGTCAGGTGTGGGGTCTGATCAGCTTGATTTGAGATGTGTGTGCCATAAAGCAAACGAAGATCTGTGGAACCAATTCTTGAGCAATCAGTACATATTCCGTAAGACTCACGATTGCGTTTTAAAAGGCAGTGGTCCCGAAAGAGCGCTTGCCGAGGTACAAAATAAATGTCTTTGATCTCTTAATTTATTTATTTGTAAGAAAAAGAATGAAAGAAATTAATTAGATCATGTTCTGGCTGATTTCCTTTTTTTCTTAATTTGTAGGCAAAAAAGTTGTTGGGCACTGATCTGTTAGATTCGGTTGATAAAGTTATTATTTTCAAGAGGTTTACGAATTACATGAGTGTTCTGAGGGTGCTTCTGAGGAAAATTGTTAGCCAACTCTTTGGAGACAAAAGACTCATTGTGCATGCCTCTAATGAAGTGCTAAGTTTTTTATTCCATGAGGCTCTACAAAAGTTTGTGAGTAGATATTTCTTGTTCGCCCAGACATGGTGTTGAGTGTATTGATTTGCTAATCTTTTCTTCACTCTGTCACTTTTTTTTTTTTTTGGCAGGGTGAAGGTGGAAAGGCTTTAGAAAAAGTTTTGCATGAGCACATTGTTCCATGGCTAACAGCCGTAAATGACCTTAAAACAGATGTGGTGGTGCGGGTTGATAAATTTGTTGGGGAACGTGAACTATTGTTTAGCTTCCAAGAACAAGAAACATGTGCGGATGATTGGTACTTCAAGTTCAAGGACGGGACCTTTGATAAAGCGGCTGGCAATGTAAGGATGAAAGTGGAATCCATGCACCAGATATTCAAGTCTATAAGGGAGTACAAGCGGTTGTTGCAATGCAGAAATGGCAAGCGTGATTCGGGTCGTCTGTTTATGGATATTTGTGATGAGATCCTAAGATGGACCCCATTTCGTGAGCGACAACCATTTCATAATCTTTATTGGAATTTGTGAACTGTGTAGGGTGTCTTTTATGAGTATCATAGGAAATATTTCTGATTATGCAGACAACAGTTTCTAAAAGTTTTTCAAGTGTTTATGCGAGAACCACAATCCTGTAATGGTCTCGTCTTATTTATCCTCTGCTTTCCCAACATTATTTCTTATATTAATAAAAGTCCTTTATATTTTTATTGAGACACAGATTTGTGTTGTCCATATGGGTTGTGATGTCCGATGAACCTTGAAGCAACACTAAATAAGAAAAATAAATTTAACGAAATTCTCGGTTTAGTAAGAGATGACGACGGGCAGAATTGGCCCGCTGTTCAGCCCGAACCTAGCCCGTTCAAGTCTGTTGACCACGGGCCAATTCTTGGCCCGTGGGTCTCCCCGGACCGGTTCAGGTTCACAAAAATATATTATTATTATTATTATTATTATTATTATTATTATTATTATTATTGCGAATTTTCAATTTTGTTTTTATTTCTCTGGGCTGGGCCGGAATCGTTGACAGACTCGCCAGTCAGATTAAATCAGGACCGTTGGATTTTTTTTACAGTTGGAGATCCATGGCCATATTTTTTTAAATATTAAATATGGTTTTGGCTCCGTATCGACCCGCCCAAAACTGCCAACAATAACATTACACAACACTGAGGCAAATGTACGATGTACAGAAGCCTCAAGTGTTGGTTCTATAAGTTTCATTCTCCATTATATACCCAAACTTCAGGGGTAGTTTTTGTACTTACCCTAATTTATTTCACATGCTGTCTCTGCACATCAAATTTCATAATCAATAGCTTTTTGCAGGATATTGGCTACATCTTGAGCCCGAAGGACAGATGTTATGATGCCTCGGGCTAATGAAGCAATTAGGTGAGCAGACTGCCGGAGCATTTGCCGATGCCCATAATGTTTTGGGAGACGAAACTCTTGAAACAATAATGAAGGGGAAATGCTTCATGGACTGCCATGCAGCCAAGGAGAACTATTGCAGTCTGAGTTCTCTTACGGATCATCCCATTTTGGCTTCCAATTTCACGGTACATTGTTGTCAGGAACTTTTGCACAATGTAACAGTGAAGTTTAATCATTTTTATATTTACAGTAAAGATTTCAAGTTTTGTAAGTCATTGTTTTTGTTTGTGAAATCTTTTTGGTAAATTTAGTTGTGCGTATATAATACGTTTGCAGGAAAGACGAACGCTGGACTTCAGCGAATGTGGAACACTTGTGAAAGAAGCTGGGAAAGTGTCAAGTGGCATAATATTTGCAAGTTCGTCCGCATATCTGTTGAAAGGTTGCAGGTAAATGGAGTAGTCGCCAGTTGGTTAAGCTGTCCTATTTTAATTTTTGCTCAGTTCATGTATGTGTGTGTGTCATTTGCAAGTTCGACAGTGAGCGGCTCGGACTGATGGATGCGGTATCTTAGATCTGTGGAAGCCCGGCGCTGCATCTGACGGATGGTGAAGTTCACTTGCCACGACCTTATTTTAATGTTTTGATTACCATACCATTGATCAAGTACATTGAACATCTCATTTCACCATCTCTTTACACTTTATTTCCTCATCATCTGGCAGAAGAGGAGGAGGAGGATTTGGAGGGTGAGGGGACTGTAATCATGGTTTCCTTCGATGGATTGGGGCGTAAAAAGGTGATACTCTACTCCACCTTGCTTGACCAACTGTTTGGTGGTGTTGTTTCAATGCAGTAATGTAGTAAAAGGAATAATAGATTTGCTGCTACTCTCATTCATTTTGTGTGCATGTCTCTCTCCTTAATCGAACATATATGCTTTGGTGAGATTTTACTCCTGTTTCTTTTCTTTTCTTTTTTTTTTTTTTTTTTTTTTTTTTTTTTTTTTTTTTTGTCGTATATGTTCTGATATTGTATAGTCGCAGTGTTTAGTGCAGGTTCTCTTGCAAATGGAGGTACTGGGAGGTAGTTTATTTGATAAAAATTTTGTACTATGTTTCAAAGCTGCTTATTTATATCTAAGAACAGATCACGTTTCCTGTTCTGATCCATTTCTGTAGATCCTTATGAATTTCACTCAACTAAGGAAGAGTTACTCTCGTAAGGTATTTATTCGAACTCTAAAACCCACGACTTCCTGCATTACCCGACTTTTTGAGGTTACTTGTCTTGGTAAAAGATTTCAGGTTGTGGATTTCTGTTTTGTTTGGATTGTGTTCGGAGTTTGAGATTTCGAGCTGGTGCTATATTGGTTGCTAACTCAAATCTTTTGATTGTTTGTTTTTTATGTGCACAATGGAGCAGCAGCTCCGAGGTCAAATATCTTTATGCATATATAGTGTTCTTACACATCTTTGTACCGACCCTTTTTGGAGATTATGAATGTCAGTTAGGTTATGAGTTAAAATCACAAATTATTTTAAGTACTTGGTGCTCTTTCAATTATATCTGTATAAACCCCTGACAATATTCAGTTCATGCAACCAATTCGAATGCAGTTCTGGCTCGACCACATTGCAAGGCAACTATACCAACAATAATGTTGCAATTATGCAGATTGACGACTTTAAGTAGGACGTGGAGATTATACATACTGCAGCATGGTGCGGCACGCAGATTCATCGACGACAGTGGCATTGTTCCGTCCTTATTCCGTTCTAAAATTTGTGGTTTTGTTACAAAAACTGAGGAAATAAGAGCATATGGCGGGCAAGCCCAATAGCTCCAAGTCCGAGAATAGCAACCTACAATTCCTTAGTTAGCTTAGTGACATTCAATGTAGCACCAAGGCCTAAATTACACAAACATCATAAATCTAGTGAAGTCCAATACAAGCATCAAGGGAAATAATAACTTAAGAAAAAATCTCTCAAAAAAATGAAATATATTATGGCTACTGAGATCCCGCAGGTGAACACCTTGAAATAACATGAAACATAATGATTCAAGGCTTAAAATTTGCATTAGTATTTCTGGAGAAGGAAAAAATCATACTCATATGGATGATTGACTTGATAGTAATAGATCTTGCAATTTCTCTTTCAACAAAGATAGTAAAATAATTTACGAGAGAATTATATTCCATTTCACTTCGAAGTTTGGATTTAAGTTAACTAAAATAGTTTTTTTTTCTTTTTTTTTTTTGAACGATAGAGAATTTTATAGATAAAACGGCACAAATGTGCAAAGGTACAACTCCTAACTGAATAACCAAAAGCTGAATAAACTGAGAGGCTGGAATTGAAGTCTGCCTAGAACCGACACTAGCAACGCTAGAAACCAAATACAAGACTGAAGACTCGACAAACACTTTAAGCACTAAAACGACTAAGCTTCCAAAAAGAGAATAAACAACAAAACGAGCCCAAAGGGATAATACTGCTCACACTTGGGCACAGTTTGATTAGTTTCATTAATAAGGAAATAATATCTATATATAATTGCAGAATGCGCTGAGCCTAATTGGCAGTCTCGCATACTTCGTAATCATACTTGGTGAAAAAACATGCTTCGTAGTTTGGTTTGAATAAAAAATAATATTATTTTGATCAATAATTCTAGGTTCTGACATTCTAAAAATATTAAAAAACTAAATTGGTAATCCCATTATAATTTGACTAATATAACCCTTAAGTTGTAGTGGAACCTTTGGTAGTGATATTGATGGACTAATTTAACATTGATTTCTTTTGGAACCTCTCAATCCGCTCATTAATTTTCATGAAAACTTCAAATTAGCTTAATAAATACATATATTTAATTTTAAACAACTGTTGTTGTTATTATTATTTAATTTTAAAAATAATTTCTTATCAAGTACCGTGTAGTACACGGGTATTGTACTAACTATACAATATGGGCTTTACGGGTTGTCTTTTAAATACATCTCTAATGGGCCTTTTCTTGTGTTAGCCTACCTAATCAAAGCAAATATATCATTAACTAAAAAATTAATGGGGGATAATAATAACTAAACATGCTTAATTTAATACAATACATATATATTTAGGTAAAAAAAAAAAAAA